CCTCTTCATCGGAGTCGGCCTCAACAACGAGCTTCTCAGGCACAACTGCGGAAGAAAAATGTGAGGATAAGCAGAATAAAATACAAAGTAGCAAACATAGACCAGTGAGGTGACAATCACCTAAATATGAGCTGATGGAGTGGGGACCGTCAACGGACAATATCTCGATGGAGGACTTGAGACCAGGGGAGAGAGCGACCTGGTCACATTTCCGAACTCGTTTACCCCACTGAGGCAGAAGTGACGGGAGGTTGGGGTCGGATACCCATATCCATCTCTTCTTCCACTCCTTCCCTGAATGGGGGTAACCCGACCGAAACAGTTAGCTCACCGGCCTCTGGGAGAGTAAGGCGAAAAAGCTAGAAGCACGCCACTGGAAGCAGCTGAAAAACAGATCAATCGTGGGTGTGAGGCCCACATCCTGACACCGCGCCACAAAAGCTGCAACGAACATGTGAGCCACCGGAGCCAATTGACCCGGGGCCACACCCAGCAAGTGAAGGAACCGAACCAGGAAGGGGTGCAGTGGCACGGCCATCCCTAACTCCAGAGAGCGGATATGGACCCCGAAGTATGGAGTTGGTGGATTGCTCAATATGTCAGTAGCCCCGGGAGATTCCAACAAACAATCATGGCCAATCAAACTGTATGCAACGACAAGGTTCTCATCTTGGATACGAGGGGGGAGGTTCGCTATCCCGCTATTATCAAGATCCCACCAAAGATTCGGGTCCTCCCGAGCACCAGAGTCATCGTCGGAATCTGACATGACCACATGTTGTGTCCGCGCTCTATCTGGAACGCTCAGTTGCCGACCCTCAGCAGTAGTGGTCCGCCTAGCTGGAGCCATCTCCGGGAGAAAGTCAAACCTGCAAAGATAAAACATAGAAAGAAAACAACCAAGCATCAAACGCCGGCCAACGCGGAACCCTGGGGCAAAGAAAATCCAGTCTGGCCCATCACCCAACTGGGGGGGACTGGCACCGCCGGCAGCCGACAGTAAGGTGGATCCGGTCATCATCGCTGCCTATCCTACGTATGCATGGATTTCCGCCAACCCAACGAGGAAGAACGCATGGCGGCAACCCGTATGCCCTAGCAGCTTTGCCGGCCAAAAGAGAGACGATGCCACTCAACCTGGACCCTAAGCTCCACCTGGACGCTTTTCCAGCAGATTTCTAGGCAGCGGCGGCCGGCAGCGAGCGGCGGCAGAAGAACGAGGTGGTGGCTCTCCGGACAACCTGAACGCCGGACAAGTGGGGCGCTTAGCTGCCGAGACGCCAACCTTTGGGAGACGCTGACCAGTACGGGTGGCCTCCGATCCATGCGAGGTGCACCAGCCGGACGTGGCAGGAGTCCAGACTGGCCGACCAGATTTGCCGGACTGCCAGGGCAGTGCCGGCCAGCGGTGGAGAGCACGGGACAGGCGCCTAGCACTGCGGGGGCGACCCAGTAGAGCCGTCGGAAAGGAAGTGGCGGTCAGTCAGTTCGACGGGTTTGCTGCGGCGCAGGGGCGATGCATGGAGGACGCACGCAGGAAACCGGGAAAGAGAAAAGGAAAGAAAGAAAAAAAGGAAAGAAAGGAAAAGAAAAGAAAAGGAAAGAAAAAAAGAAGGAAAGAAGAGAAAAGGAAAGAAAAAAAGAAGGAAAGAAAAGAAACGGAAAGAAAAGAAAAAGAAGGAATAATAAAATAAAGTCCGAAAGGGACAGTCACACTCAGGCCAGCCCAGCCATGTCAACGCACACCATAGGTTAGGAGGGGAAGCTCAGAGAGAAAACACCACAGAAGAATCGAAGGAGAAGAGACAGAGTCTCTCTCGTTCTCTCTTGCCTCACTCTCTCTCTCTAACCGAAGGATCTCATCCGCTCAAGTGCAAGCAGAAGAGCTTAAGTACGAAGGGCTACAAGGAACCCTAAGAGAGGGTTCTAGAAAAGGGGCTAGCGAGAAACATACATGGGTCGGAGTCCAGAGGCAAGTAAACAGGCCCAACAAGACAAAGAGAGTTGTCATGGCTTTATGGGCCAATACCTCCACACTCTCCACCTTATTGGCCATCATTGGTGGTGCAAGGTATCACAAAGTAACATGAGCATGTGGTTCATCATGGCTGGGTCACCAGTAATATCCTAAAGACATAATTGGCAAACAAATTGGAGATACACAAAGATTCAATCAAAGCACCCAACGAAGCAAGGGAGCCTTCGGGAGGATCACCACAATTACTCCTTTTCCCTCAAACACTTTTCGGCAAAAGGAGTGAGGGACTCCTAATGGAGTATATGGCACAAGGACCCCCGGCCCACACACTTGTACTCCTCCAACACAGGCCCAACATGCCCAGGAAGCACAAGAGGCCCAAGGCACATCGGCCCAAGTGTCAAGAAGCCCATGGTGCACATACATGTGTCTTCGACCCCATGGCCAAAGGCTCCAAACTCCAGAAAACGGCCGATTTTCTTCATACAAAGCTACTGGGAGAAAATGACCGAAATCAGGAGCCTTCGGCACCTATAGCCCTCGGACATAGAGGCCCCCAGCCCAGGAAGCCTTCGGCACAGTAGGTACAGCCGAAGGCATTCTTCTCGACAGAATCTCCTCTCCACATGCGCTGGATCACCGTACTATGTACAACATCGCATCCAACCACCACATTTAATGCGGCCACATGCTTATGTCGGTGCCACCCCGATTGATGTGACCCCTCGGCCGTTAGATTATTGACACGTCTACTCTCATCACATTTATTACTGCTATAAATAGCAGTCCATTCTTCATTGTGAATAACAACATTCATACATCGAATACTCGTTGTCTCTCTTACTTGTTGCTCTGACTTCTCTCTAACTTATTCCCCGAAATAACCCCCGGATAAGCTACCCCCGATACACTTGTCCATCAAATGTAATTCATATAGGAACACAATGTTCTACAAGAATAAATGAAACATAAGAATCCAAATTTATTTTTATTAACAAAAACTCAAACTTTCAAGAATGCTCAAGAATTTTGGTCATTTTATTAATGAGTAAGAACACTAATTGTTACACAACCGTTACACTCATTGCTATATGTGGTACAAACATAGATGCAATCGAGTTTTTCTTCTTAATAATTGTTTTCTTTTCATTTCTATCTCGTAAAATTTTGTATACTTATTTACGGTTATATATTTATTAATTTGAAATTATATTTTTATGTGTTAGCGATTTAATGATGAAAGAAAGTGATGGTTAAAATATTTATTTTCTTAATGGTTAAGTGACGATGTACCAGAATTGCACTTATGTAATACTATTGATTCTTATAACAGTTCTTCTAGAAACTTCTAGAATCGAATCAATATGGGATTAACGAATCGAGGAGGGATCGAGGGGGTGGGGTGGGGCAAGCTGAAGAAGAAAAAGAACTGAAGGAGCGTTGGGCGAGTTGGGGTGAAGAGGAGAGGTTGCTTGGCTAAAGAAGAGGAGAGTTGGGGGCCGGGGAGGGGAGGGATGGGGTGGCACGGGGAAGAACCGATATAAGAAAAGTCCACGGAAATCTTTAGCGAGGAGAAGAGAAAATTGGAGAGAATTAATGTACTAAAAATGAGTTAAAAATCTACGAGAATCCATGATTTTAGAAACCAATAAGAATGAACGGAATTTTGAATACGCCTAGACTTTTATAGACTTATAAAAGTCTACATTGAATACACCTAGACTTTTGTAGACTTTTAAAAGTGTACATTGAATACACCCAAACTTTTAAAATTCACGGTTTTTTAAAATTTTGCCACTAATTCCTAATATAAAACACCCACTAAATTAAACTAATGTTCTGTATGTAATACTTCGTATTATATTCCGTATATTACGTACTCCGTACATATATACATACCAAGATGATAAACATTTAGAAATTACCCAATATAGGAGTAAATATAAACTCAATTGCACAAATAGGAGTAAAATTTAAAACTTCCTTGAAAAGGAGTAAACATTAATTTTGTACCCTTAATATCCCTAACCTAGTTAATTCTAAAATATCACTTATTTAATCCTAACCTAGTTAATTTATGACTTATTCGATAATAATAATTTATTTATTTATTTATTTTTCAAAAAATAAAAAAATATAATTTAAAAAAAAAAACTCAAAAAATTAAAATAAAATTCACCGCCGCCTCTTCCGCCTCAGCACCACAACCTCCGGTCACCAGGGGGAAAATGCCAAGTTCATTACGAATGCCATATTTATGGCAGAAAACAATGAAAATGTTGGCATTCGCAAAGAGAAATATGCCAAGTTTTTTGCATTTTCAGGAAAAAAGGCAGTTTTTAGGAAAAATAGAATTTTTTTTCACCGCCCGGAGGTGGTGGTGCAGGTAGGTAGTACAAGCGGTGGGAAAGGCATCCATATTTTTATAATTTTTTTTATGGAGTTTTACTATTTTTTATTGATTTTTTTAAAAAAATAAAAAATTTATAATTTTTTTTAAATTTTTTATTTTATTAATATTTTATAAATTTTTGGTTATTTTTCTACGATTTTTTGATTTTTTTTCGAATTTATTATGAATTAAACATTTAATTAAAAGTTATTGGAGCTTGAGTAAGTATATACTTATCCAAACACTAAAATTACTCCTATTCAAAATATGGTACTCCTATTTTTACATTTTGCCTATGTTTTGCTTGTATTTGGAGAATTCTCTCATAAACATTCACTTTTGGCTTTTACGGAGTATTTATTACGGAGTATATATGGTACGTATTAACTGAGGTGAAACTTTCCCTAAAGGAAAGCATAACATTATTCAATGGTTTGCGTTGCTCGTAAAGTACAAGGACTAAACAAACACCAAGCCAATATCAAACGTCTCAATAAAATCAATAGAAGTAAAATAAATAAATAAATAAATAAATAAATAAATAAATAAATAAACAAATAAATAAATACTCGGTAAATAAATAACATACGAGAGGTATTTGAAGTAATATACGGAGTATTTGAATTAAACCTACGACCCCTTGTCAGCCTTTGCAGCGGCAACAGCGGCTTGACCACGGACGCGGCCAGTCCTCCTGGCGGCGAGCAGACCAACCTTCTGTCCCGGCGGCGCATCACGGCGAACCGTACTTGCATGACCAATGTGCTGGTGGTTACCACCACCGTGGGGATGCTCCACCGGATTCATAGCCACTCCACGAACCTTGGGCCAGCAGTTCCTCTTCACCCTAAACTTGTGGTAAGCATTCCCGGCTTTAAGCATCGGCTTCTCCGTACGCCCGCCCCCGGCCACCTGACCGATCATAGCCCGACACGCGCTGGGAATAATCTTCTTTGCCCCGGACGGGAGCTTAACCCTAGACGTCCCAGCGTCGGGGTTGTGACTGATCACGATGGCGTAGTCGCCGGAGCACCTCGCAAAAGCGCCCCGATCACCGACCTTGTGCTCGACATTACATACGACGGCTCCCTCCGGGATGGAACGGAGAGGGAGGACGTTCCCCACCATGAGAGCCGCCTTCTTCCCGCAGTACACGAACTGGCCGGTGTACATGCCCTCGGCGGCGACGAAGAGCTCCTTCTGGTGCTGGTAGCGGAAAGGGTGGCGGAAATTGACGCGAGCGAGCGGGGCGCCGCGGCCGGGATCGTGAACGATCTCCTGCACGACGCCCTTGAGATAGCCATTGCGCTCCCCGAAATCAAGCGTGCGGAATTTGGCCGGCCCTTTACGGTGGTGAGTGTGAGACTTGAAGACGGAGCCGGCACCTTTCCGCTGAGCACGGATGACGCGACCCATAGTGTTGTCGGCGGAGGGTTGAAGAGTGAAGACGAATTAATGGAAGAGAAGAGAAGCTAGCGCGCGGCTTTGTGTATAAAAAGGCAGATGAGAGCTGCGGTAATGTTTGGGTTAGGGTTAGGTTTTGTTATGCGTCAGATTTCGTAAAGGTTCAAAGCCCGATGGGACACTTCATCTATACGGACTCTATGTTTTGACTACTATTATTACCAAATTAAATTAAGAAATAAAAATCTACTCGTAACAAATCTTTCTCTTTCCTTTCTCATCGTAATTAATTGTTCAAACTTCAAGCTATTAGGTATATTAGGTATACTACAATTTGGTATTCTCACGGAAGATATATTTAGAGTTTTTTGTGGATTAATGCTAACGGGGTCGTCTGGAGCAATTATGAGGTCCTAGACACTCGTATAATTATTTTGTTTAATTTGTTTTATTCAACATAATAATCATAAATCAATGAAGTGGAAGTAAAATACTACTTCCGTCCCTTAAAACTTTGTCAAAGTTGACTGATACGGAGAATAATAAAGTAAAAACTGTGTGGTTGAGGTTTGTGCAGAGGAGAGAGAAATAACAGAAACCACAAAATAGTTGATTTAAAGGGAAAGTGACAAAGTTTTTTGGAACGTCCCAAAACGGAAAGATGACAAAGTTTTAAGGGACGGAGGGAGTACATATGCAATGCATTATATACTATTAACGTAATGAGTATATTCTTTGTAAGCAAAAAGGTCCAAAACTGATAAAGAAAATACATCGATATTCTAATAACCTATTCTTCTAGCTTTTTGAAGAGTAAAATTTGTAAGAACATCACTACAATCAAGAGTAGCTAACATTTTTTCAATCAATAACATAGTCAAATCAGATAATCTATCTTTAGACATGATTGACCAGATATAATCCTTGATCAACTTCAATTTTAAAAAACTTCTCTCCACATTACCATAACTTACATCATCCCGTTTTCATTCTCAATGTGAGCATTCTCATTTGTATCGCCTATATTTAAGTCATTTTGATCACTTACATCCTCACAATTCTCAAATACGAGACTTGTATCCTCTCTCAATAGTATTTGAGGGAAAAGGTGTTGCGCTCACTTGATCCATAGAGTCGGCAATTGATTTTATGACCAATCATTTCTTAATTTGTTCTCTCTCTTTAAACATTTCAAATCATGTTTTCGCTTTCTCGTCATCACAAAACCTACAATTAATTTCATTGAAAATAATACTTCCTCCATTCTCCTTTAACTGCATAAATCAACATTATATTTCTCTGTTAGTAAAAAATAAAAAAAATCAAATTTTGAAAATTTAAAATGAGTAGAATTTAATTATATTTTTCAAAAGTTTGATTTATAATACATTAATAAATAAAATGTACACAAAGTAGAATATGTAAATAGTGCAACATTCACCAATGTCGCAATTTAAAAAGAATGGACGTAGTACTAAATAAATTAATGGTTCATAAATACATATTTAATCACATACAAAAGACTATAGGTATTCAATATTTAATCAATCAAAATAACAAATCACAAATTCAATATATCACAATATATTTATAATGTACCCTTGGTCCCTAGGCCACTAAGTGACTAACAGTAACAATAAAAAAGACTAAAGAACTAAAAGTAAACAATAAAATAATAAAATAAGTAATCCCAAAAATGAAATTGTCTGGAATCTGTTGTGAAATGAAGAAGATGAAGGGCAAATTTATAAGACAGAAATAGATATAAAACCTCTAAATTACTTCTTCTTAATATCTGAATATTTTCTGAATTTCTAAGTTCCTTTACAAGGCATCACCAAACCCCTATTTATACTGATTGAGCTTGATGATGAATCATCAAAGAGTAATTCTACATATTTTGCTGGCAACATTAAAACTAGCTATCTGTCTATCTATGATTACAAGGATGGAAACTAGATTAGTGTCCTGATGACAAGGATGAACAATTCACACTTGTCATTCTCATGAATTTACAACACTCCCCCTTGAATGTTCATCCTTGAATAGGTATTTATTATTTTAAAAACTTTATCGTGAAAATTAAGGGGTAAATATTATGACTTATAATGTCGTTGTATTTGGATATACTGTCTCGTTAAAAACCTTATCAGGAAAAACCCAATGGGATAAAAACCTGATGAAGGAAAAAAGAGTGCAGTGCATTCAAATACTCCCCCTAAACTTAGCATGAATTATGAAGATGGCGCATGCCGATTTTCTGTACAAGTTCTATGAACTTCTTCGGGGGTAAAGATTTGGTGAAGAGATCGGCCGGATTTTTACTGGATCTGATTTGTTGAATGTTGATTGTCCCTTCTTTCTCCAGATCATGAGTAGAGAAGAACTTTGGTGATATGTGTTTCGTTCTGTCTCCTTTTTTTACTGGATCCTTTGATGTCTCCTTTGGTAGATCACAGTCGGGTGACAATTAATAGGCTTCATACCGCATTCGTTTTGAATGTGTTGAATCATAGATCGTAGCCACACACATTCTCTTCCGGTTTCATATAGTGCAATTAACTCAGAATGATTTGATGATGTAGCTGTCAATGTCTGCTTCATAGATCTCCATGAGATTGCGGTGTTACCATAAGTAAATACGTACCCGGTTTGTGATTTCGCCTTTTGATGATCTGATAAGTATCCAGTGTCTGCATATCCGATTAAAGCGGCTTTTTCATCTTTGTGGTAGAATAGGCCGAGATCAGCTGTACCGCGAAGATAACGGAATATGTGTTTGATCCCGTTCCAATGACGCCTTGTTGGGCATGAGTTGTACCTAGCTAATAAATTTACAGAAAATGCAATATCTGGTCTAGTATTATTAGCTAAATACATTAAAGCTCCAATAGCACTCAGATATGGTACTTCAAGATCGAGTATTTCTTCGTCATCTTCTCGGGGACGGAATGGATCATCATGTATGTTGAGAGATCGAATGACCATTGGTGAATTCAAAGGATGAGCTTTGTCCATATAGAATCTCTTCAACACTTTCTCGGTGTAGTTGGATTAGTGAATGAAAATTCCATTCTTCAAATGCTCAATTTGAAGTCCGAGACAAAATTTGGTTCTCCCGAGATCTTTCATTTCAAATTCTTTCATAAGATATTTTGCAGTATTTTCAATTTCATCGGGAGTTCCAATAATATTTAAGTCATCAACATATACTGCAATTATGGTGAATCCTGAATCTGATCGCCGAATGAAATCACATGGACTAATTGGATCATTTTTGTATCCTTCTTTGAGAAGGTATTCACTGAGACGATTATACCACATTCGCCCAGATTGTTTTAGTCCATACAATGACGTTTGTAATTTAATGGAAAACATTTCTCGAGGTTTCGAGCTATAAGCTTCAGGCATTTTAAATCCTCTAAGGACTTTCATATAAATGTCTGTATCGAGTGAACCGTATAAATATGCAGTCACTACATCCATTAGGCGCATTTGCAGCCTTTCAAAAACAGACATGCCAATGAGAAACCTTAATGTAGTTGCATCAACTACTCGAGAATAGGTTTCTTCATAATCAATTCTCGGCATTTGAGAAAAACCTTGGGCAACAAGTCGGGCTTTATATCTTACGATTTCATTTTTCTCATTGCGTTTACGCACAAATACCCATTTAAAACCCACTGGTTTTACGCCTTTTGGCGTAGGGACTATCGGTCCAAAAACATCACGTTTTTCAAGTGATTTTAATTCAGCCTGAATAGCTTCATTCCATTTTAGCCAATCATGTCGTTTCCGACATTCTTCAATTGATGTTGACTCATTGTCATTGTTTTCATTCATAACACTTGTGGCCACAACATAGACAAATATGTCATTAATATCAACACCTTTTCGATTCCATTGCATTCCAGTAGAAACGTAGTTTATTGAAATCTCATAATTATCAACGTTTCTATTGTTATCTGGAATATCTTCCTCGTTTAAGGAAGTTGGATCATCATTTGAGATGTTTGTTTTGTCAATATCATTTTCTATTCCAGTGTTTTCAAATTGTTCATTTTCTTGTTCATAAGGATGAACATCTTTGGCATCACAGATCAATTCATGCCTTTTAGTTTTTCTTGGTTTTATATATTTCGATCCAAGTGGCCTGCCACGCTTTTTGCGTATAGAAGAATCATTTGTAAGAGATTTTTCAGAATTCTCTATTAGGATTTCGATTCTTGCAGGGGCATTCATAGCAGGAATATGTGACTTTGTCACTTTCTTTGTATATGTGAATGCATCAGGCAACTGATTTGCAATATTTTGTAAATGGATTATCTTTTGCACCTCTTGTTCACATATATTTGATCTTGAATCAAGATGTGATAATCTTTTTGCATTCCATGTAATCTCTTTCGTACTTGGGTCTAATTTAGTATTTTCTTCCCCTAAGGTTGGGAACACTGTCTCATTGAAATGACAGTCTGCAAACCGTGTTGTGAATAAGTCACCAGTCATCAGTTCGAGATATTTTATTATTGAGGGAGATTCAAAACCAATATAAATTCCCAACATTCTTTGAGGACCCATTTTTGTACGATGAGGTGGAGCAATCAGAACATAAAGAGCACAACCAAATATCTTAATGTGTGCTAAGTTTGGCTCATGTCCAGTAACTAATTGCATTGGGGAATATTCATGATATGCAGTCGGTCTAAGCCGAATTAAATTTGCTGCATGGAAAATAGCATGTCCCCAAGCTGATGAAGGTAAATTACACTTCATTAATAATGGTCTAGCGATTAACTGTAATCGTTTAATCAAAGATTCGGCAAGACCATTTTATGTATGGACATGAGCAACAGGGTGCTCCACGTCAATCCCAATCGACATACAATAGTCGTTAAATGATTGGGATGTAAATTCTCCTGCATTGTCAAGTCGGATTTTCTTTATAGAATGATCCGGAAAATGAGCTCTTAATCGTATGATTTGAGCAAGGTGTTTAGTAAATGCTAAATTTCTAGTTGATAACAGACTGACATGTGACCAACGTGTTGAGCATCAATCAACACCATAAAATATCGAAATGGTCCACATGGTGGGGCTATCGGCCCACAAATATCTCCTTGAATCCTTTCTAAAAATGCAGGTGATTCAGTTGCAATTTTATTTATAGAAGGCCTGATGATTATTTTGCCAAGAGAGCAGGCCTTACAAGGAAAATCACTTGATAATGGAACCCTGATATTATTTAATGGGTGTCCAAGTGAAGTCTTAATGATTTTATGCATCATTACTTGGCCTGGCTGGGTGACCTAAACGGTCATGCCACAACATGAATATTTTCTGATCATCTAACTTTATGTTAGAAACCAAATTTATTTCGAATGGACTAATATAGGTGAAATATAGTCCTGAGGAATATGCTGGCATTTTTTCACAAATAAATTTAGTGCCAGATTTAGTTGTCGTGAGACAAAGATATTCCCTTTGATTTTCATTCATGGTTTCTACGTGATAACCATTTTGACGCATATCTTTAAAACTTAATAGATTTCTCTGCGATTTGTTGGAGTGTAAAGCGTCATTTATAATTATTTTTGTCCCGTTAGGGAGCATCACATATGCTTTCCCAGAGCCTTCAATGAGCTTCGCAACACCTGATATTGTATTGACTTTAGCTTCAACTAAAGTTATTTCAGAAAAATATATTTTATTTCTCAAAATGGTGTGCGTTGTGGCGCTGTCTATCAGACATGGCTCTTTATCATTTGAATGATCCATATCTTCAATATATATAAATAAACATTAGCTTGATCACAAATTATTCATTTTATTTAACATAAGAGTATTACACATATTTATTTAAAAACAAAATAAAAGTGGACGAAAGAAAAAATACATAAAATTAGTATTATATAACATACGGAGTCTACTATTTTATTTTGTAACATTTTGGTTTATGGCAAAAGCATCGTCCATAATTGCATCATCAGCGAAAAAGTCGGACACGTCAAATTTTGGCAGAGATGGAGTTGTGTCATTGACATTATTAGCTTCCATATTTTTGCCTTTGTTTAAATTCATAGAAGCTTGAAATAACTCCACCAGATGTTTAGCCGTGCGACATTTATTAGCCCAATGCCCCGTCATGCCACATTTATAACAAGTCGATTTTCCCGAGGATTTTGGAGGGCGGTTTATTTGATGGGATTTTTGTTTGCCCTTGTCCTTATAATTCGGTCTATTGACTTGTTTATATCCTCGGTGGGACTTGTTATTATGACCATTAAAATGCCCACATTTAAAATGCTTTCTAATGCCACTGTATGTTGCATTTGATTCAGTGGCTAAATTATGGCCAGATGGACCATAAACCGAAGGACTAGAACCAGTGGGTCTCAGATTATGATTTTCATCAAAAGGTCATTATTTTGCTCAGCTACCAATAATACTGATATTAAGTTAGAGTATTTTTTAAAACCCTTTTCTCTATATTGCTGTTGTAGCAGCATATTAGAAATATGCATTGTAGAAAAGGTTTTCTCCAACATATCAGCATCAGTGACTTTTTGTCCGCATAACTTTAGTTTAGATGTTATTTGGAACATGGCAGAATTATAGTCGCTGATTGATTTAAAATCCTGGAATCTTAAATTGATCCAATCATACTGAGCTTTTGGCAAAAGTACCTTTTGTTGGTGGTCATATCTCTCCTGTAAATTGTCCCATAATTCTTTTGGGTTATCAACCAAAAGATATTCAGATTTGAGACTTTCATGGAGATGGTGACGGAGAAAAATTATAGCTTTCGCTTTGTCCTGGGAGGATGATTGATTATTAGCCTCAATAGTGTCTTCCAGACCGTTAGCCTTCAAATGTGCTAAAGCATCCACTTTCCATTCCAAGTATTTTTGACCAGACAGATCAAGAACGTCAAATTCTCTTTTGCTAATGTTTGCCATGATTTACTACAACAACCATTAACATATTTTTTTTACTAAATATTACAATCTTTTATAATTTTTTTTTAATTATAGATAAGTATATAAGGCATTGATATAAGGCATTTGAAATAATACGGAGTATATGTAAAGTAAGTAATCATGTAGGCACTATTATTATTGTGCGAGAGAGCACTAGATGCTCGATCGGAACTTGTCAAGCATTAATATACCACGTAATCGTTATCTCTAGTTGTGTATATTTATCCGTTAGTTTGTATGAAAACTTTAGGATTGCACCAAAATGTTTCTTTACTTTTACGATTCAATCAAACGGTTGAGTTTGTTGTTATGTCACCCGTGACTATTTATGAGAAACCAGATATATTGATACAGATTGAGTACAACTGTACAACCCACTGCACGAAGCCTGCTCAGTATTTATCGTTTCTTCATTTGTATACCCGTGACTAATGACTATATACTGCTTAATTTCTTATCCTTATATATACATAGTAGTGATTGAGTAGGAATCATTTTAATACCCAATTTGAAAAAAAAATGATTAAGAGAACACATTATAAAGCTACCGCACTCCTCCAGGAATTATTATCTTATTACACCAGCCGATTCTTTCCGATCGTCTTGTTTAATTTGTTATCCAGACCATCTTTTATCATCATTTCTTTGTTCTTCTTTTAGGGGGTGTCCCCGACACGAATTTTAAATGATTTTAAAGGAGTTTAGAATTCCATCCAAATCCAGGTGTCCTCAATTTAGATTTCTATAGAGTCCATTAAAATCCGGGTATCCTCAAACATTCCATGGAATTTGCTTATTGATTATTTTGATGGATTTTGATAGAGTTTGAAGGACTTTTGGGCCAAAAAATTGAATAACCCATTTCACCAACAATCTCACCTCCACCCCTTGGATTTCCAAATCCATTTTTTAAAAAACCTGCGTCTCTTCCGTCTCTTCCTGCGCACAACTCACGACACATCTCATAAGCCCTTTCCCTTCCATCTTCCAACTACACTCACCATCTTCATCCTTGAAGTATTCTCCAGGTACGATTTTCTCCAACTTTTTATGTCCTCCATATTTTGATGAGTCCTACTCTTATCAAGAATCTGTATTTATAGTGTATAATTTCCAGATATCCGTCGTTGATCTTCTCCGGACTGGATTTTTCAGTTTTTTGACTTTGTTGTTTTTTTCTTCTCTTGCGGGTGGGCAAAACCCACAGACGGCAATTATTATTGCTTTCCTCTTCCTAGTTTTTGTGTTTTTCTGCTAACTTTGTGTTTTTAAATTGTTAGTTTTGCTCCCAATAGTGGTTGCTCCCAATAACTTCCGGCAATTGTTTTTTAACTTTGTGTTTTTAAATTGTCAGTTTTGCTCCCAATAGTGGTTGCTCCCAATAACTTTTCAATTTTAATTATTAATTAATTATTAATACTCCGTCAAAACTACAAGTGGAAAATAAAAAATTTATTTGCATTTGTTTAAAAACAGACTAGACACGTTTCGTGACAATATCATGCGTAGTTTTTTATGTGAATCTCTCTTTTCCCCTGAATAATTTTCTCCTTTTTACTACGCATTTGTACTAGTGTGTATATTTGTTGACGAAGTTTTTTTAGAGAAACAAACTTACCATAGGAAACAAACTTATGCATCAGTGGACAGAATCACAGACTTCCTCTGAATAACAAATTCTACCATTGAGGAAACTTACGCATAAGATAATTTTGAACAAAGATAAAAACAATTGTCTTTAATAATATGTATGTTTAATAACTATAACTTCTTTGGTAGTTCTACAATGGGTGATTTGCAAGGAAAGGAAAAGGCTGTGTATAATGCGTGGAGTACAGAAGAAAGTTCTTTATTACTAGATCTTTTGGTTGAGGCTGCTCAACGTGGATGGCGTGATTGTAGTGGATTGATTACTAAACAAACTGTTGAATCTAAAATACTCCCGGTGCTGAATGAAAAGCTTGGATGTCAAAAGACATACAAGGAGTATCAAAGTCGGTGGAGGTACTTCAAGCAAAGATATCAAAAATATGTAGATCTGATGAAGTTCAGTTCGGGGTTTGGGTGGGACCCAATTACAAAAAAATTTACGGCTAGTGATGAAGTGTGGAAAAACTACTTAGAGGTATATCATATAATCCTACAACTACTTAAATAAATAATATTTAACTATACTAATCCAAAATTAACTTACTCCATTATATATATATATATATATATATATATATATATATATATATATATATATATATATATATATATATATAATCTTGTCTTTTGTAGTCTCATGGTGCTCATAAGAGTCTCCGGACGGATACCATTCACGATTATGAAGATTTACAAATAGTAGTTGGGAATGTAACAGCTACAGGGAAAAATTCAGTTGGCTTAGGTGAGGAGTCTGATGCTAGGACATATGATGTTGAAGAGAACACTCAAGCTTCAATAGAAGACTATGTGTATGATGAGTCTCAAGACGCGTACGTCCCAACCCAACAAGATCCAATACACGATTTAACTGTGCCTCCTACATGTGCAAATAGGAGTCCGACTCCCTCAAGAAGTAGTGGTTCTAAAAAGCGAACCAGAGATCAATGTGAAGGGAGCTCTAAGCCAAAAAGCAGCGAGTCTCGTTCTGAATTTAAGAAGAAGGTTGCTAGTGGAATGGATTCTATTGCTGAGATTGCTAGTGACATTCGAAGAATTTTATGAGATGTTGAAGTTAATTTTATTAGCTCTTGAAGCAATACTTCAAATGTTGAGTGACCTATTACTGTTAATGCATGAGGGAGAGTATATTGAGCGTCCTACTCGCAAACCTATCACCATCATTGGATTTAATTACATAAACACAGTGTTAACTGAAGATCCTGTGCATTTTAGAGAAATGCATAGGATGTACCCCGATGTTTTTCTAAAACTTTGAAGCCAATTTATCATTAACATTTCCCAATGATTTTTTTTTTAAAAAAGAACGAATAATTTTTTTCTCAAAATATTCTGACGACTTTTCCAACGGCGGTTTGCGGCGGCTGAGCAGGTGTGGGAGCTGGGAATTAGGGTAGGGGTTTACACCGGCTTGTATTTCAAATCTATTAAAATCCATTGAAATCCATATAATTCCATGAAATAGAATTCCATAGAATTCTATAGAATTCCATATCAATCTCATGGAATCCGTAGAATTGCATTAAAATCCATGGAATCTACAATCCTTTAAAATCATTTAAAATCCGTGTTGGGGACACCCCCTTAATTCCCCAAGTCATGAGTATTATTATCTTCTTAAAGTAATACGGAGGACTATAGTATTATACTTACTCTAATACTCGTATATTTTTCTTCGTATATCATCTTTCCAATACACCTAGTTACGGAGTAATATGACCTGTCTATTGTTTATGAAGTATTTACTTCTGGGGGCTACAAGAACCTTATCAAGGTTGATTGAAGAAAACATTCGTTCAAAGGTATGATGTTATCTATATTTTCTTTTAGTATATGATAGAAAATTATTTAAAACAGAAAATAATTTTCAGGTTTGAATACTAAAAGATGATAATAAATATTGATGCTAATACCTGCAGGAAATGATGATTTCTTGAAGAGTTTGAGCTGATTCGTGCTGATAACGTGTTGTCAAATGAAGAAGATGAGGGGCAAATTTATAAGATAGAAATAGATATGAAACCTCTAAATCACTTCTTCTTAATATCTGAATATTTTCTGAATTTCTAAGTTCCTTTACAAGGCATCACCAAACCTCTATTTATACTGATTGAGCTTGGTGATGAATCATCAAAGAGTAATTCTACATATTTTGCTGGCAACATTAAAACTAGCTATCTGTCTATCTATGATTACAAGGATGGAAACTAGATTAGTGTCCTGATGACAAGGATGAACAATTCACACTTGTCATTCTCATGAATTTACAACAGAATCAACTAAATCATTTAGTTCTTGGAAAAAAACTAAATCAATTAGTAAAAGTATTCAATTACTCCGTATTCAAATACGGAATACCTACACCCTGCACTAATCACCGCCTCTCACCTGCTTGGCTGCTGATCTGCCTCAAGGAATCCAAGGCAATCCGTCTGCATAGTTTTACATTAGTTACGACTTACGAGTTCACATTTATATTTATTACATATTTACACTTAAAATTGAAAATACTTGTATAATATTAATGGACTTATTTCAAAAAATTGAGGCCCCTACAATTTGGAGGCCCTAGACGATTCTCTATGTCAGCTGCCCCCATGGCCGGCCCCCGAATGCTAATCAATATCAATCAATATATACTTTCGTATATAAAAGAGGAACTTTTTAAAAGCATACAAAGCGTCGCATAATCCTACCATGCCATCCATCATATATATAACAATTATTTAGTTTTTTTATACTCCGTACCGTTTATTTTTATTGGATTCTATTTTTGATTGCATATTAATATGGAAACAAATGACTCTAGATTCCGTCACTTTTGAAATAGATCGATTCCTAATCTAAATTAGGAAATCTTTATATGTTTACAAATTCCTAATTTTGTTTACTCTTAAGATGTTTTTAATTAGATTGATTTCAGTCTCAGACTAAATCAGATTAGATCAAACTTTAATAATAATTGGACACATAAAATGTAAAACAGAAATCTACCAGATCATATTACTTTAGACCACATCAAACCCGAAAATTTTAATTCAATTAAAAACGTCCTTATTAATGACGTTTTCAATGTGATGAAATAATAAGTAAAATGTAAAATCTTACTATTAAAAGTATGTACTCCATATTTCATACCAAGTTGAATGAGGAATATTAAAAAATATATTTTGAGCCACATAATAAAGTAAATTAGAGGACATGAAAATAATTAAGAAGCTTCTCTATGAATTCTTTAAAATCGGGTTCATAACAATTATGCTTAGTAGATAGAGAACCTTATGTAGAAGACCATTTATACTATTTTTCATATAATTTTTATTTATTCAACAAATGGAATTTTTTTTTTTCATGATTTGGGATATTCACTTATTCAACCTATTCAGCTAGAATTTAATTAATTTCAGCAAAATAAACCGATTCCACCAATATTAGTATTATCAAACAGACTTTATATTTAGACTGAGTTTATTTTGCTTTTGTGTCACATTATATATGATTCCGAAAACCAATCAAATTTTAAATTAGATAAATTACATACCGCCTGTGCATCACACGAGCTTGAAACCTAGTTAATTAAATAATTACGAATTAATGTTGGGTTAAAACTATTTAACAAAATATTATTGGGCTTAACTAGATCTGGTCGGGGAAAGTCATCGAACCGTTTGGCGACTTATAAGTCGCCAAACCGGATGGCGACTTATAAGTTGTCAAACCGTTTGACAACTTTCCCTTTAATGAACTGCTGCGCAAACCTTATAAGACAGAATGAACGATTGAAGCCAACAAAAGAGCTCCGGCGAAGAACGATTGCAGCACCCCACTCCGGCGACTACAACTACTAGGAGGCCATTCCACCTACCAAATACACTCCTCAATCATCTTCTTCAACCTCTATGTACATCAAATCCCCAATTTCATCTCATTTTTGAACTTAGGGTTTAAAGTGATAATTTTCGAATTTGTTAATTACAGATTGATTTGTGAAATGATTTGTTGTGAAATGTAAATATGTATGTAATGTTGAATTTTAATGTAATATGAAGTGTTGAATATGTATTAAGTGTTATATTGTTGAATGATTTGTAGGTGAAAAACTTATTAATTTGCCTTTGTTAAGTGTTGTATATGTAATATGATTTTCTGAAATATGAGAGTTTTGAAATATGTTTTATGTCTATGGATTGTTGAATTTGGGTGTATAAAGTTAGTATATTAATGTGTATTCATCCATTATCGTTACGTATTGTTATTAAAATATGGATTTCTCCAACTTCTCAATTGTGTGTCATTGGGGAGGGAAATTATTTGAGGAAGCAGGGGGTATACGCTATGAGATGGTGCAAAATTATATGCTGCTACACAGATATCTCTGAGCCATTATTTGCAAGTGCAAGTGAAATATCCCCTTCACAGGGGATCATACCGTCTCATGCCACTTGATGATTTATTAATTACTGACTAACTACCTTTTCATTTTTTGTAGGCACTATGGAGGTGTCAGCGGATCCAGGACTGATTGATGACCAAGACCATGACCAACACGATAAAGAAGACCATGAAAAGTTCTAGTCTCTCTATTATTGGACGAAATAATGTACATCAAATTTTGTAGAAACACTTTACTTTTTAACGTATTTTCACTTGCAAACAAATGGATATTGTGTTATTAATACTTTTTCATTTGTTTATGATGTGTTGATGTGTTTGGTTATGCATATCGGATGTATATACGCTGTTTTTATATTGTGTTTCTAAGCAGGTGTGTTGCTTTGTATCATTTTTACCAAATTGTGTTTTGTATGTGACGTGCACTTTGTCGTGGTGTGCACTCAAAATAAATAAATACAATACAACAATTATACGTAGTATAACGAAGTAAGGTTCGTATCCACATGGAAAGGAATATTTTTCTTTTACGTAACTAGTAACAAGGTGGGTTTTTGATTTGATTTAATAATACTAAGATGAACAACCTATATGAGTTTAATTAATAGAGATGAGGACTTAGTTTTGCTTTCATCCACTTAATGAAATGTTCGTCGATCCCGGTTATATCTTTAACTATCTTCCTCTCGAATACTCAATCGAGGAGTATATCCAGTTCATCGAGGGTAGTTATTAATAACGAGACGGGTTCATTAATAAAACTTACTCTGTACTACCGAGTCAATATAGAACACGCGCCGTATATTAACCCGATAGTAGCAATAAACTTAAGATGAGAACGATTGAGATTGATAACCTCAACACAAGTGGTTTATTGGTTTAATCAATATAATTAATTTCCCTTAGATTATTAACCATGAAACACATGCATTAATAATCCAAGTTTACTACCGTTGAACGAACTGAATTAATAACAAGCGTATTAATCGATTGATTCTAGTAATAATTAATATATGAAACAAAACTAGTTGATCATTTAAATAATGCTCAAAATATTAATATGAAATATGAATAGAAATTAATTAATATTCAAGGAAGAATATTATTAAAGAAGATGAATCCTACTATAATTAAAGTCGATATGTTAACTAATTGTCATCTTAGCAACACTCCCCAACATTAATATAGAGGAAGAAAATACTACTATAACTAATGTCAAGATGTTAACTAATTGTCATCTTAGCAACACTCCTCAACATTAATATAGAGATAATATTAAGGAAAGAACTAATAATTAATATTTAAGGAAGAAGATTAAAGAAAATAACTCACAACTTACAAATTCATTAAGTTTCAAAGTAGCAAAACCAAGATGGAAGAGTTTAGCTCCTCATTTGGAGACTAAACATGATTAAAATATAAAGAAAGAACTATTCTAGACTGAGTTTAGAAGTATATGTGAATTGGTGTGTAATTGTGAAGGGAAGGAGGTGTATTTATAGGGTTTTGGGAATGCAGCTTGGGTATTTATCATGCATCGTTGGAAGGTGGCGGGTGCGTTGCAAAGTCTAAATGGCATGCGTCGATATGCGAAGGTGCCAAAAGGACAAGTGAAAGTGGTTTCTCTTGATCTTCAGGGGCTATGGGTACTTGAAAATACCCGGAGTAGCCATCAAGAAAGTAATAGAACTTATGCCCGGCAAGTCTCTCAAGCATTTGGTCAATGAAGGGCAAAGGAAAGAAATCATTTCTAGTTACCGCGTTGAGTCGACAGTATTCTATACATACCC